AAGCAACTGTACTCTACTGCATCATAACTCCAGATCCCCCACAAACACACACACACACACACACACACTAGATGGAGTTGTATTGAATGCAGCAAATCACGTGTGTGACATTTGCCGTTTGCGTGTGTGTTTGAGGCTGGCTGTTGGGCCTAACTTATTCATCACCTCGGGAAGAAAAAACAGCATTAAAACAACGAGGTGGAAAGATTAACAGAGCAAGAGAAAGAGAACTAACCACGTGTCTACGGCCGAGGGACTGCTGCTATTGACTGCTGCTGTTCTCATGAGTCCCGTTTGCATCACTATGTTTTGCAACACTTCTAATTGCGAACTTCTACGATGACACAGCTCTGGCTATTGTCAGCAAAATAAACTTGGCGCTTACCCTCACCCATCACTGCTCGCATAGTTGACTCAAAATAAGGTAAACTGAAGGTAAGATTACCTCCTAATTCTGAGCTATTTTTGCTATTTGCACCTGTTTCTAAATTGGCACATTGTTGTGTAAAGGCCACTTGTGCTGAAGAACATACGTTTGCAGTGTAAAAATGGACTTTATATCGCTTTTGATGTGCATATAACATGAGCCTTTGTGTGTCCTGCGTAACTGGATTGAATAAATCAAGGGTCTTTCTGTCAGGAGACACTGACAGCTGTCGAGCGGTGAGACGCACATCATTCATCCTTGACATGTGCCCACTGTAACCCCCCAGCACAGACCGCTAATGGCTCCTGCACCTTCTGAAGCCAGTTGTGGGCCATTCCCTCAAGTTGGCTTCAGCTGCGTCTCTATCCCCTCCTCTTCAACCTCCACATCGCCTCTCCATCAGCTCTTTGACAAACATATTTTCTCTTCCCATCTGATGTTTGCTCTGCTCCTCAGACCGGTTTGTTCCTGTATGGCACCTCAGAGGACAGGGGTTGCACATGCAAGGCAGCTGTTTTTAGAGGTATAAGTATGTTTCATGCATCACTATGTCAGCACGTGCAGCACAGAATACCGTGTACTTGAAACAATCATCAGGGCTCCTCAAACTGTTGCAAAGTATGAATTTCAGAGTTCTGAGTCTTCAGTGTGTGTTAAGTTTACCGCTCTGCTATCAAAGTGTTTGTGTGGTACAGAACTGGCTGTTGCCTAAAATTGGGGGTAATTCTTGGTTCAAAGGCTCTTATGGAGTTAAATTTTGTATTATATGGGGAAAACAACAGATTATTTGATTATCAAGGTCAAAGAAGACAACTGACAATGTGTATAAGATTGTTCCTTTAAATAATAAGGTGATTGCACCAGTTACTTACTTACTTACTCATAAAAGCTTGTTCTTTCCCTGAAAGAAAATCAAACTTTTCTTTTAAACATTACATCAGGTCTCTTATAAAAAAAATCCGGGTAAAATTAGGTTTCTGTTTAAAAAAAACAATTGTTTTTTTCTTTTACAACAACACATAAATAATTTAAACAACTATTAGCATTTGATGAGTGTAAGATTTTTTTTATATGTATTGTGTGTTCATGTGGTGCTTGTGTACATGTTGGCACTATGTCCTCCTTTGTAATGACTTTAATAATCTCATGGGAACAATTTTATCTAACCAAAGGGAAGGTTAGATAGAGTATAAAATGAGTGAAATATGCATGACACAACACAGCTGATCATTTTACAATATGTATGAAGAATATCAATATAATAATGAATTATCATAAATTAGGTTAGCAAGCACTTCCAGTGTGTCTGTTATAATGCTACTTTATTTGTAAACTGGAGGCCAATGGTCAAAATGCAGAACTGGGGTCACATTCAAATAAATTGCATAGAGAGCAGATTATGAACAATCATCACAAATGGGACAATGACAGGATCTGTTTCCCCGTTCTCTCTTTGAGCTGTACGGTGATCTACTTCTATTCTCTGTTCTTGCGAAGCACTTGTACGGTAATCTTATAAATGGTCTGAATCATTTTGACTATTGGTGCCTGCAACTGTCACCACTTTGCCATTACTGAAGGGGCCCCCATGTAGATTGTTCATGGTGTTTATCTCCAATGACAAATTGCTGCTGCGATTTGGACACTGAAAGGCATTTATCTCCTTGGTGATGGAATGGAGCCAGACAACTCAAACAAAAAAAAAAAAACTATCTGTAAAGGTCCTCTGTGTGATATTTACATTATAGTGTTTAGCGGATTAGAAAATGAACTCTCGCTCTGTGCTTGTTGTCCTCTGAGGTCCTCAGTGCTTTGTTACATCGTCATGCACCTCTTTTGACAATAGCTACAGCTGATAACACCATCCAAAGGCATTGTCTTCCTGGCCCTTATCCTTGGGTTCTCCCTCAGTGACCCTCTGTCAGCCCTTTTATTTGTAGCGCAGGTCCCTTTTCATTCGGCCGCTGTCGTTGTCATGTTTATAGCCGCGTGGAAGCCCCATGTTCTGCATTTCAAATGGCTCCCCACCACTGGGGCATGATAAAAGTACTACATACTTTGTCACGAGTACAGTTTTATCCTTTGAGGACTCCTTTGAGAGCCTTCAAAAGTGGAGACTAGTGTACGATGCACCAAGGGAAAACCAGCAGCACTGCGCGCTTTGTCACACATTGTCTGAATTTGAAGATACAGCATGTTCTGCTCTATTTAAATACCTTTTTTCTACCCAACAGCCTTAAAATCTGGCAAAATGGTCTCATCCCAGTGGAGAACTGGGCTGAATGGTCCACGTTGATGCATCCTAATACCACTCTATTCTAGTTACAACACTACTGGAGAAGAGGTTAAAGCAATTTATTGAATTCACAACATGACAGAGAACTGTTCATATCTTGTCCCCTGTCAACTGCGGCTTCTTTAAAACATTAGACCTACATTACATGTCATTTAGCTGCGGCTTTTGTCAAAAGCGACTTACAATAAGTGCATTCAACAAAGAGGGACGACAAGAAAGCATCACCGCCATCTGTTCCCTACGTTATCTAAGAGGTTTTAAGGGCCTCGTTGGTGGCTTTGGGAAAAACCAGATTAACCATCAGATGGCCGTACTTCCCATCAGCGGTTCTCAGTTTTAGTTGGTAGGGGCCTATTCTAACCGTAATTGGCTCAGGTCGGCGTCATCATGCTTCGGTAGGGAGGGAACGTTCGCAATTGTAAGAGGCCAAAGTAATTATGATGAAAGGGAAGGATTTATGTCCTTGTATTATTGCGGAGTGATTGCTGAATGTATCTCTTCAAAGGAAACGACTATACACAGAGCTCCCCCAATTTCACCCCGAATCCGTCACAGTTCTATAATTTCTTTCCGAGAACAAAGTGGAAGCTTCCCCTGCTACCTGAGAAATACCACGCAGTGCTGCAATGAGCGTACACACATTTTCGTACATTACTTCAATCAACGAGTTGTGAGCTAATGAGAAATAACTGGAATTTCTATCTGGTGGAGCAGCAAGGCAGAACGCCCTGAATATTCTGTTTGTATCTCTGAGGCAAAACAAGGTTAAGACACTTGTCTCTGTTTATTTATCATCCAGCAGACATCCGGCATCCCACATTGCTGGCCTGGACGCACTAACAAGTTGATGAATGCTCTGGTGTGCGGTCCAAATTTGTCTGCTCTGCTTTCTCTCGATCCTCCATCTGCAGCCCGCTCAACATAAAGAAACGTTGCCTTTTAAAGCAGCGATCAGTGTGTTGCTGGTGAGGGAGAACAACGTTAACGCTCTCTACCGTTAGTTCAAGGACATACTGTATTATGTGCAATATTGTTAGAAATAATATACTTATAACCAGTAAAATATACTTATAAACAGCCTATTCTGTGCATCCAGCATCCCCGGTTATTCCTACTCTATCTGGGAGATTCTAAGGTATTACAAAGTCAGACTGGATTAAGCAATATATATATTCAAGGGACTGAGGTTTGCATAAGTGCCTCGGGCCCGTGCAGCATTACTGCAGTCACAATAATGACAGTAAACTCAACCAAATTTGACGCAAATGTGAAAAAGCTCAGGAAGAAAGTGAAGTAGGTTGCCATAGGTAACATTTATTTTTCTAAAGCTTGTCATGAGGGATTTTTCCATCCATAGTGAAAGTTTAATGATGTGTTTTTAACACTCTAACTTGTGATAGGACGAATTGATCCATGGAAAGAAACTTCCCTGCACATCTCTTGAAGCGTATCATAAAAGAACCATATTTTGTGATCAAAATCACAACTCAACGTGGATTAATTCATTATTTTTTTCCAAATATTTAAAGACATCTGGTTTGTCCTTGGCAGGCATTTCTTATGAATCTCTAAATAATGAATGTATCATTCTCTTATTCTGCCTGCTTTGCTCCCTGTGAGTTTTGGAAAGTTCAGGAGCCTTCAGGGAGCATGAGGCTCGTGGTCTGAGAGGACCAGCCAAGGGACGCAATATATTCCTCTGAAGCCCAAAAAGGTTACAAACTGCTCATGTGATCACTTCGATCCAGTAAGTTTTCAGATGACCCACCAACTCCCGAAGCTGCAGTGTAATCTGGATCCATCATGCCCTCAGGGAAGCTCCTCATAGTTTTAATATATCTCATAACCTAGCTCATTTCCATGGACTCTGATCATGATAATGCTCCCCTCAGGATCCATTCAATTTGATTATTATTATCTTTACTTTAGCACACTTTAAATACTGTGCTTCTCAATCCAGCTTCTTAAGGCCCAGGGTCCTGCTGGCTTTCTCTCTTCAAAGGCTGTTAACTGGTGTTCCCTTTCAACCCAGATGTAAATCATTGACTGTGAGGGTCTCTGAGGAACTAAAAGGATTAATTAGGGAGAAAGCAAGGAGGATTAATAAATGGAATGGATCTGTAGGATGTATAAAACATGAGAAGAGGACAACTGTGAGGAAGAGTGAACGGGCCGCCAGTTTCTGATGTACATTTACTATCATCTGACAGTTATTGATTTACTATTTCTAAAATGTTCCAGCACTTTGATTCTTGTCTGGCAGTGGAGAAAACAGCGTCGTATGGGGATTTATTTACTCGATTCAGAGAGGCTGAGCAATGAAGAGTGGATGGTGGAATGAAAGTATAGTGGGGGCCACAGCTGTGGAGGAACAAGCGTATTCATCCCTCCGGCTCTCAGGGTGGAGAGGTCTTGTTGAGGACACACGATGGCCCCTCTGTGGAACAGCAAGAGCCCGGAAATGTTCATCCCTCTTCTGGCGTCATTGCAGGGAAAAGTCATTCAAGAGAGACTTCGACACCGGCAAGTGCTTCTCCAGAACTGGTTACACTCACCGCGTGTCATTGATCTATTCTGCTCTTCCGTATCAAAGAAGTACAAACACAAAAATGAGTGTACGGTATTTTCACACATTTTTTTATATATAAAAGTGTAATATATACTAATTACGAAATATACATTTCATAATTATTTACAACTCGGACCTTTATTTTTCTTTCTAATGTGAAAGCTGCTCATTCCACAACTTTTTGCAACATACTCATGAATTGCATCAAGGTCTGACATGTGATAATGAATGGAAGTTGAATGAATTGAATGACATTCCCTTAGAAGAATACATCTTTCCACTTTTTCCTTATTGTAAAATAACGAGTTCAAAACAGCTTTTTAAGTAATAATATTGAATAGGTTTAATCGTCATGTGTTTCTCTGGTGTCTCTGTGTCTCACTCCAGCTCTGAACAACAGCAGCAGGCAAAACAGAGCTGTCATGCCGACATAAGATCTCAACAAAAAAAACATTGCTTCCCAGAAGTCAGGATGTAAGGTCACTGACTGTCCCCGGCCCAGATGGACGTAGACCAGCAGACGGATCTCAGCAGCCCGGTGACCCTCCAGCCAGCAGTAGTAGACACCTAATTAACAGAAACGCTATCTTAGTTAAATTAAACCCCAAAAGCTCTCTGTGGTTACTTGTGCAAAGTGCAAAGGAACTGCTTTATCTGCACTAGTCAAGAGAGACAGTTCTACAGGGACTGGAAAAAAGTGAGGGAAACCTCAAGAGAGACTACTTATACACGTTTATCACAGGTGTAATTAAATAGAGTCATTCGTTGATACCAGAGTCTGGAGTTTTTGCAGGTTGAAACACCAAGTTGTGTCCGGTGTCCACGTGCAGCCTGGGGGGCGTGTCGCTGAGGTTACGACCTGCCCAGCGTTCAGATCGATAGACGGGTTTAAAGCCTCTGTCCCAGGCCACGGCCATGTCGGGACGTGCCCCGGGACAGCCCAGGGTGAGGGTACGGTCCGTAGGAGCTTTCAGGTAGAACACCGGCAGTGAAGCAGAACTGCAACACATAAACAGAGAGCGGTTGTGGTTCTCCTGTGAACTGTAATTATACGAGGGGGATTTAACAGGGAAATCTCTGTTTATTCATAATAGATAAGAAAATATCGATGGAATGGATTCAACAGGTGTAATGAATCACATTCTGGGCCTACTGGCAATATTCAACTTGACATTGCAACTGACATTGCCGGCAGTGACATATCACTCCCTTAAACTTCCAGAACAAAAGAAATTTGATCAGAATATGTTACACAAAGCATAATTCCTGTTAATTCTGGTGCCACCGACACTGCCACTGAATTTTATAACCAGATAAATTGATGGATTTCACTATGCTCCTCTGGGGTGAATTTGAATGTTTCCAGTATCCTTTTATTGCAGCAACTCTACGAAATAATAAGACTGCAAGTGATTTACAGTCGGCTTCTCATTCTCCCCAACAGCAGCTGGCCCGACTCTCTGGAACCATTTGTCTACTTCAACATGTGGACTCTGTGAATCCTCAAGTGAAACCCGATACAGTTATATACTTGCTTACTTCAATCCAAGAAATGCCATCAAAGCAGTGATTTTGGTGGATTGAGAAGCTCGATCTCCACAAGTTGCTTCACAGCTTTTCACCTCCAGCTTGGCCCCCACGCTGCTTTGCCTCAGCCGTCCAAACGCCCTGAGCACTGCTCCTGAGCCGCAGGAGGTGACTGTCTGATTGGCCCGTCGGAAGCGTACGTGCAGGTAGTGCGAGTGGACGTAGCACAGTCCCACACGCACTTGCTCTCCAGGTAGTCCGCAGCGATCGCAGACCGACCAGGGCCTGAAGCTGGTGAAGACCTGGTACAGCGGCTTAGTAGAGCCAAGTCTTTTTCTTTCTTCATTTTTCTGGCTGATACTTTCAGAAGGGAGCCTAGAAGCACCACATTTGAATTGGAGTCACTTAAATCGGTGGTTCATGTCATGATCACTGGTTGTTCATAAGCTTCTGTTGAGTCTTTCACCCGTCGGTGTGATCATGTGACACAAAAGCACTCTTCAGTTCGTCATTACATTCATCATCATTAATGCCAAATGCTTGAATATCAAAGTGACAAAAAACAGTCACAGCCATTAACTATGTGTCTGCCTCGTCACCTGCGTATGAAGCTGAGTGTTCGGGCCTCCTGGATGTCCAGGTCGTAACCATAGAAGAAGTCCTTGTGCACAGAACCGCAGATGTAGATGCCCGAGTCGGCAGGCTCTGCTCTGAAGATCAGCAGGCTGAAGAGACGGATGGAGAATCGACTACGCAGCCCGCCACCGTGAGGGACACTGTCAGGGTCAAGCAGGCGGTTGCCATGGTGATCTGTCAAGGCTCTGGTCTCCTTGGAGCCACTCAAATGTTTCCGAAAGAACCAGACAACTGATTGGATCTGAAAACACACGGGGAACTGAATAATTAAAAGGTACCTTCTGCTGGCCGATAATGTTAATTGATCAATATCAGAATCTTCCGAGACGTTCTCTCATTCTATATTTCTTCTGTTTTTTGGCCAAGCTTGATATAGCTGCGGATTGCAGCTTCAGAGGAGCTTTGATTTAAGCAGCTGGTACAAAGAAAAGAAGATAGGACATTTTGTCCTGCACTGTTGTCAGACTAGTTACATCAATCAAATACTTAACCACGTAATGACCTTTGAGGATCACATCCTCCCTTTGTGTCTTTTGTAATAAAACCATGATATGTTGTTTCGTCATGAAATTAATGAAAAAAAACTAGGTTAGGTTTGAACTATAAGACCCATCTTTGTGATTCTTATTTGGATCTTTTTCAGGGACAATACTTTGTTTTGAACAAATTACAATACTAATTATTATTAATATTATTATTCACCAATGGATATTAAAGCATGTCAGCATGATGATTGCTCCAGTTACCTGTTGTGGTTTGCAGCGGCAGGGCACCTCCACTGTGACTCCAGCCAGAAAGGCAGCGTTGGTGAAGGTCAGGAAAGCAGGGCAGGCTTTTCTAGCAAAGGCATCCTGCTTATCCTCAGGAGCCTCGTAGCTCCACGCCCCGGGACCCAGAAGAAGGAGGAGGAGGAGGAGAATGAGGAGGAGGATGGGAGAGGAGGATGGATAAAGCATTAGAGACGTCGCTAATTGTGACAGTGACAGGCTCAGTAAAATATTTCCGCGCAAACAAAGACGTCCCTCCAGTGGGAGGATTCTGACGTGTTTCACATCTGAACACTTGAACAGTTCATTTCAAAAGAAAACAGCTTTGATGGAATCTAGGAAGCTCAGGAAGAACCAGTCCTCTGTTGTCAACACAAACATTTTGAGTCTGGTGTCCTACACCAGTCTCATACTCCCAGACACACCACAACTTCAGCCTTTGCTTGTGTCTTAGAAGTTCCAAAAGATTTATATTCCTTTTACAGCTGGCTGGATTCAAATAAGCAATCCATCTGGTATCTCCTTTGTTCTGTGCACATTTTGAGCTCCTATCAGTTATGTCTGCAGAAGGGTTTAGCATTTCAAAGTTTCTTCGATTTTATGTAGAGAAACTTCAGCTCGGTTTTGGTTGCTATGACAACTGCATGCAACGTCCTTCAAAAGGTAAGCTATACTGGCCGAAAAAGCCTTTTATTATAAAATATGCAACATTTTTCATTTTAAAGAAGGAGGCTACACGGACAATACAGCTTTAATTCTCTTTAGGCTGTAAGGATGGCAATGATGGCCTGTATGTCGGGTGATCGATGTACCAGTGTGGTCCATACTTAAAAATCTCTCCTGTACAAATATTTCATTCAGTTGCATCACACCTAGAAAATAAAAAAGCAAAGAAAACGTTGCCTCAGGACAAATCCATTACCAATGCGTAGCTGTACACAGCTCATAAGCCACACTTATGAGTGTGTCGTTGTGAGGTGAGCTTTCCGTCATACACCTAATTCATCCTGCACGGCAGGAGTCCGGCCGCGGGAGGTTGTTGCTGTAATATTACAAAGTAGAAATAAATGAGTGCAATGAAACGCTTGCAGAGCTTCAGTTCATGAGGCCTGCGGCACAATCACCGCACATAACAGGCTTCTGATCAACTCCACTGCCTGGAGACACAAACAAGACTCGTGTGACGCTAGCTGGGAGCCTCAGCTGAAGGCATGCGCTCAATAATGAACCCACTGTGGTTTTGTGTAACCATTACGCACAGTAGCTGCAGGCTGAAATTCCCTTGAGGACTGCAGAAGGTGTCAGGGCAGCAGGATGACTGACTTGTATGTTCGGAGCCGGGGAACCCTTCGCATCACAGCTCTCTGTTTACCTTTAATGAAGTTCATTTCAGTTCATTTCCACAGCGACGGAAAGACCATTTGCTCAGGGCAGTGGTTCCCAAACTGGGGGTTGCAACCCCAGGGGCGTAGCCAGGACATTATTTCTGGGGGGGGGCAGCTCTGGCCAGTCTTTTATTTGGGGTGGCACTTGATTGTCACTGGATTCCAGTGGTTAGCTGCTAGTCTCCATTGAAGCGCTGTCAGAATGCAGGCACGTTGGTTTGTGTCTTGCGCTGCTGATGGGGCCGTGTCCCAACATGTTGCGAATATGGGGCTTGTAGCATAAGTGACAAATGACAATATAAGAGGGAGTTGGGGGGGCGGCAGGGTGGCCAATCTCTGACCAATGGTGGCCGTGGCCCCCCCTTAATCAAAGCAGGAGTTATATGTTGCTTTCGAGTAACCCGTAATTAGAGACGTATGTATTTTGCCATTGTTGTTGTTGTAGCCATCAACTCGCTAAAATTCTGGAGGGAATCACACAAAACAGATTGTTTTGTAAGAGGAAGCCACGTGCCAGTAAAATAATCAAAGCACGTTGTGTTTAAAAAGGTTCAAACGGCGTTAAATGACAGTGGGGTTCTAAATCTGTCTTTAAAGAACAACATTAAAACACATAAAATGTTTGCCACTGGGAATAAATCACAACCAGTAAAAACCCCACAATAACAAATTTCTTGCTTTATTCTTAAAGACGTCTTTGACATTTTCTAAATGTCAGAATGTAGGCACATTTATTTAAAATGTTACTTCATTTTTTCCTCAAAAACAATTGCTTTTATTTCACGATGATCTCACTTAAAGCATTTTGCAGTCTGCCTTTCTTTTAGAGTTGTACTTACTTGGTTCTTGTTGTTCTGGCTCGGAACCCTCTTGGTGGAATCCACTTGTTGTAAGAAGCGTTGGATAAAAGCGTCAGCTGAATGAAACATTTAAAATGTAATGTAAATGTTTCATCATTTCACGTACGGAGGACGGCGGCAGTGCGACAAAGTATAAAGAGTGGACTTTGAAAACTCCGGGAGTCTCTTTGGGATTTGATCAGACTGTTGGGTTCAACCGGGTGGAGAGACTCTGTTCAATAGAATATTATTGTTTGAGACTCACACTGTGACTGCACTGGGTTTCATTTTAGGTTTTGTTAAAAACAAAGACATTTTGTTTTTAATTGAACCATTTATTCAGCTTTGTTTTGACGAGGGACCTCATGAGACGGACCGGACACAGATTCCTTATGAGACGGACCGGACACAGATTCCTTACAGTTTCTATGGCAACTTCATTCAGGTAATATATATTGTTTAAAGCGCACTATGTTCAGGAGCAGACAATTCATAATTCTTTTGCAATTCAAATATTTAGTTTTTATTTTGAAAATAGAATTACAGCCTCCTGGTTGTATGCTTCTTCAGTTACCAATACATAGACCTTTGTGGGAAATTGACATGCTATGTATACTCATTCTTATGCAACACAAATATATTATGTGACGTAACAGGGACTTTTACATTTAACCAATAAAACTAATCAGTCCATCCTTGAGTGTGATTTGTAGGAATCTCCTCAATCACAAGAACGAGACGTTTAGGTCATAGGAACCTTGATCTTTCAACTCCAAAACCGTAAAAGAAGTTAAGAAGAAGAATGGAGGATACATACAAATGTACAACCCAACCAATTCCTAACAACACCCGGCCATGGCAGTTGCCGGCAAAGAGCCGTGGAATCAACATTAGCATTTTTCACTTTAACGACAGAAAAAGAGTTTATATTTATAGTGTTTTTGTCCCCAACAGATGCTCCGTTCGTGCAATGTGAACTGACTCTCCCCCCAATATAATGAATGCAGGCGCGTCCTTTTGTGCCGGCACTATATTCATGCAATAAGTCCTCAGAGGAAATGACAAAAAACCTGTCGCTTTTAACAACCTTTTAGAGCAACTCATAGAAGCGATCTCTCCCCCGACGCTGTTCCTGAAGGATGACCTGATTTGTCTGCATCTTCCATAGAAAACAAATCATTGTAATAAATCTGTTTTATTGCCACCACGGTGCAAACTAACTAATTCTCCATTGCAACGTTCCGAATAGAACTGAATGTCCCAACATTCCTATATTTTCTCTGAACATCTTGATCTATTATTCTCCTTCTGCTGTCCTCTCTGAGACATTTATTGCACTACCATCTCTCCACACCATCTGTCTCACCGGCTCAATCTCTTATTCCTCTCGTTCACGACATCCAGGCAACTTCAAAAAGAAACAACAGAGCCCAACCGCTATTTCCTCAATAAATCCTCAGTCCCTCAAATGAGCTTCAGGTATTTTTCCAAATAACCTTTTTCTTTATCGTTTTCATCATGTGTCCTTCCTGCCCCTGCTGCCCCCCCTCCTCCCTCTACTTATCGACTGCATTTAATAGCATCCATTGATCAAGCTTGGTGTTGAATGCCACCTGGTCCTTTAACATTTGTCCCCCTGTTGTTATCACCATTCCTCCTTTCACAAAGGTCCATTGAATGCTTGGAATCACCCGAACACCTCATCCAATGCACTCTTTCCTCCTTGAGAAAAGTAAACGACAATTTATGATAGATTCTTGCAATCAAATCAACGCAGCGTGTCCCGTACTTTGGTCCAGAGCGAGACATTTCTAACAAACAATGTGATTCACAATAAATGTGAGGTGGACATGCATAGTGCTCAGAAGGTGCATCTTAATGGTTTGTGTGGTTTCCAGACTTTTCCTCTTCTGCCTCAATCGAGGACAATGGTCCTTTGAAAAAAGGAGAAAACAACTGCACAACTCAGCTTTATCTTTTATTCATCAATTCTCTCACACAAGCTTTCATCCGTATGAAAATGTACATGCGCATATGGAGGACATAATACAAAACTGTGTTATTATGACATAATACAGACTTACACAAATATAGGTAAATATTAGTTTTTAATTCAGACATTTCTACAAAGACACAAGTGAACATAATTAAAAATGCAAGCTGCTTCTGCAGCATTCTGGTGTCCATTTATAAATGAAACATTAAACACAGACCGTTGGTCTAGCTGCTACAAATTGTCCATCAATATGCTGGATTCAAAACACTTTGCCCTTTGTCCATAAAAGAGACAACATCTTGATCCATCATTCGCTCGCTCCCTCTTCCCTATTTTCCCTCTTCAGCCGAACTTTTTCTTATTTCCCCATGATGTCATACATGAAATCACAGCATTCATTGAAGCATCCTATACTTGTATGCACACCATACAGGTACACAATACAACTCAACTTCAGCATCCCACAGACATATCTACATACTGTACAACTGACATTCACTCGTTAGATTCATCTTATTGCATCAAAGATGCAACGTTCTCCTCAATGCAACGAATTCTCCTGCTCCCTGTTGGATTGGACATTTAACTTGAATTATATTTCAACCTAAAATGAAAGTCCTGAGTCTTGGAAATTGTATTTCAGGAACCACTCTCTACTCTTCTCTGTCATTTGACTTGTTTAATCTATGACATTATTGCTGATGATTATTCCATTACATTTCAGACGTGTTTCCTTCCAGACAGCTGCTGGATTTAATCGTTTTCTAGGGGACATTAATCTCAAAGAACATGTATTTGCAGACAGACAAGAATTAACCATTTGAGGTGAAAACATATTACAATTGACTCAACTCACAAGGGTTTCGGAAATAAAATGGTGAAAAAAAAGGGTGGCTTCGGCCGCACCCGACCAACCAGGCTTCCATTTTTAATCCCAGAATGGGCTGTTATTTGTGATGCCCTTTGAAAACATGCACCACAGGAACGCACTACTGTTTGGGTTTTGGTTGTCGTGTGTTTGTTGTATTGAAAATGGGATACAAATCAAATTAATCTTGTTGAGCAATCCCGTGTTGTATAATGTGTATAAATGATCCTTGAGTCCTTGAATTCTGAGGTCTAAGGCAGTTATTACAGTCATAAAGCATTCGCCGTAATGTGTAAGCCTGCGGTGTTTCACATATTGGACCTTAATCCAATCATAATAACTGCCACAGTCTAGGCCGGCCAGCAACAGTTTTATAATTGAACAAATATATATATTTGAATAACGAAACGGCCACAATAACATGTGAGATGGACCTTGCAGTAAGAAGATTTTTTGTATCTTCAGGGTTGATATTTGTGCTAAATTCATAATTTGCTTAATTTTGGTACACAATGACTTTACCTTCTCCTAGTTTCTGTCAAAAGGATGACAAAGCTTTAATTATCTTCAGCAACTTCCAAAGCTCCTTTAAGCAGATCTCCACAGCTCTCGAAAATCAACCGAAAACAACTGCAGAAGTGCAGGTAGATAATCAATCTTCGAATTTATG